GAAATGCTCAGATACACGCGAATACTTCTCTTCCACCCCTGACGGTAACGAACCATCAACCTATGTTCGACGTGCTGTCTCACTAACCACTGCACATTACGCAAACTGTTTGATCCGTCGCTCCACAAACTATTCTACGCTCTTTCGCCTTCTTTGCCTCGTACTGAAGTTCCACGTTATATAATAACCTATTGCTACATAAGGTCAAACCCGTCCATCTTGTCTCACAATAGTTTATAAATCTGCAACTGAAAACTGCTAGCTTTTGGCATCACATGGGGACGCACCAGCCCTCAACCGTGGTCGACACGATCGACATGTCTCCTCGGCTGCTTGAAGCTGCGACGACAGCGACGTCGCTTCAGTCGCAGCTTGCCAGAAGGAAAAAAATATATATGGGGCCGTTAATCGACAAGAGCTCCAAATCACCTAGAAGCCATCTTTTTTTCAATCTTTCACAGTAAAACTTTATAGTTACGATGTGTATACTTCTATATTGCTCGGTACATCATTTTTTACCTAAATATGAGGTTTTTTTTATGAGTTTAAGGAGGAAATTTAAGTTATAAAAGTTTGTACATTTTGTATGGCTGACTTTATCTTCTTACTGTAATATCATTTAATTTTATACGGGTGTTTCTTCTATTTTTTTTGCAAATAAAAATGAATTTTGAAACCTGTACTAGAGAAATAGTTCTCCAAAAAAACATTAAACAACTCTCTGCAGAATGTTTTGATGACATACCTTAAAAAACAATACCCCAATGACAAGTTTCTGTATCAAAGTCTCTCTACCAAAATTTTGGGTACTTACTGTTCTATTAATTTGCTGCCTAAATGTGACATGAATTTACCGGAAAAAGTGCAATAAATAAGTGCATGAGAAAGAAAACAAAAAATAGGCACTGAGAGATATTAGGTTCAGGAAGCGTTTAAATTAACCCCGTGTATTTTTTGTCAAGCGACAGGAAAGTTCCCAGTAAATAACAGTTTTACCTGAACATAAAATTTTATAAAAAATCTTTCAGTTCAGTAGTCATATACGCTTTACGTGAAAAAAAGAGCAATGCTCTTGAAATTTCTAATTATCACTTGGCAATTTTAAAATTAACAAAAAAAAAAAAAAAAAAAAAAAAAAAAAAA